AGAGGGTGACAACGTGACGGGAGAATAATGTAATGTGTGTGTAGGCAGTGAGTAATTTATAGCATTTGTTTAGCGCGATTGTTGAAGTTGAGTGTATCGGTAAAGTTATATTCGGAAAGAATAAACCAATTTTATTAAGAAAGGACTTGTGTCGCTTAAGTTTAGTCGGAACGAAGTTATGGAAAACCAATTAACAAACGGAGACGTAACAGTATAATCAAGCATCATGCATAAACATGCTAAAGAGATACCTCTGATATTAATGTTACAATTAATTCTAACAGTGTAAGCTAGCATCATGCATAAACAAGCTAAAGATACCTCTGATATTAATGTTACAATTAATTATAACAGTGTAAGCTAGCATCATGCATAAACAAGCTAAAGATACCTCTGTTATTAATGTTACAATTAATTTTAACAGTGTAAGCTAGCATCATGCATAAACAAGCTAAAGATACCTCTGTTATTAATGTTACAATTAATTTTAACAGTGTAAACTAGCATCATGCATAAAGAAGCTAGAGATAACTCTGTTATTAATGTTACAATTAATTTTAACAGTGTAAACTAGCATCATGCATAAAGAAGCTAGAGATAACTCTGTTATTAATGTTACAATTAATTTTAACAATATAAGCTAGCATAAAAAATACAACCTCAAAGTAGAAATACCTGTAGTTTACTGCATTCACTCAGAAGTGGTTGATAGAAGAGCCCCTGGGTTATATCATAGGTTTTCTACCTTCTAAAGTGACATTTAATTTTATTTTTACATTACTTAGTTTCTGCACTATCAGGGCATTAGCATTACTTTGTTCTAGTTGCTTTGTTTCTTGTTCTCTTTAGTAAGTTATGTCTTCTCTGCCAGCAAGGATATTTCAATATTCTATGGAACATCATGAGTTAGATGGTTGGCATTTAAATGGTTAACCAATTATGATAGTGAACAAAGTGACATATGACCAATACTGCCAGAAAACAGGGTTCATGAGGTGATGCTCCCCACTGCTAAATTCAAGCTTGCTTTCTATTGGATGATTGACAAGCTTTTGTTTGGTTCTTAATAAAACAATTTCAATAGGAAAGAGGTTCATACACTCTCTAGTAGAAAGGACCATCCCAATGTCCATGTAGGTATGTTCACTGCATTTCCTGTTTTCTTTGCACACTAAAGATTTTCTTCCATTTTTAAAATTGTCCAGACTTTTCATTTTAAACATAAAAGGAACTCAGCCCAGTTACCTAAAAGAGAAACCATCCTTAATTCCTGAATCTGCTGTTATCTGTGGGTCTAACATTTGTTTGAAAAATTTACCTGAGAGTAACACACCTCCATTGGAGTATCAAAGAAAATAGCTGTAATAGGTTTCTTAGGCTCAGTGGATTTAATTTAAACAGGTGTTGCATTATCCAGCAGTGGAAGATTTAATGTTTAGGGGAAAAAGTTCAAACTCACTAAAGGGCCTCTCTACAAGACATCATTTAACTAGAGACATTAAGTCATCAGATTTGTCCAACTCACATTTGATTTGAGTGAACAGTTTGCCTGACCAGGTCATTTATTTTAAACTCTGTTCAGTTAAATAAAAGTGTGTATTTGTTCTCAAAGAGTGATACTGCTTAAAATATAACCAACATAGGATTAGCAATAAACAGAATTATATCAGATAAATGATGAAAATAATGTTATTTAAAACAATCTGATATGATCACAACTTGAACCAAAGACTCCCCACCTCTCGCTAGTTGATTAAACTACCAACACGTAAACCTGACAATTCACTGGCTGAGAAAGTCACCATAGCCTACTTAAGATCAGTTAGCAGCTGAAAAAACTATTTGGGCTTTTAAGTAGAAACCTAGATGGCTCAACAGAAAAAAAAAATAAAACAAGGTTGAAATGAATCATTGTTATTATAAAAGTAGCATTTCAGAAAGTTAATTTTAATCATAAATAATACCTTACCTCCTTTAAAAGTCTGTTATATTCTTTTCTTCTCTCCTCAGCTAGTTGTCTTCTTCTTTCCACATCATTACCCAGAGGAAGTCCAAAATCTTCCGCATCATCGACAGGTAGAATTGTTCTTCGATTAGACTTGAAATTAATTACATTAATTAATAAAATATTTTAAGTTCACTTTAGTTATAAAGCTACCAGTTTTTATTTTTATCTTGTAGTTAAAAATTCTAACAAAGTGTAGTAAGATCAAATTCAATACGTACTGTTTAGTTTTATTCTGAAAACACCCAAGTATAAAAACAATAAGCTTCTATTAAAATGTTTTAACACACACACTGTTTAAAATCAAAAGTTAAATAACATGTGAACTATAAATTAGAGGACAATATATAATATATAAAGCAGTAACACACACTACAGTTCCCAACTTCATTTTTTAAACAAAAAGTATTAAATTACAAAAAGATACTTGCTTCCTCTCACAAAATATCTTTTCTCTATTAGTACTGCCCTCTATCAGCTCAAACTTTCCATGCTCACCACTAGCCTTCCATCTCCCGCTTCTGCATATCCACATGTAAATGATTATGTAGCAGTTCTCAACCGATACAAGCATGCCACAACCCCTATTGTAACTAGCACCTTCTCCACATTTGCTCTCATTAATCACTTTGACATTGGTCCTAGGACCTCCACCACAAATTACCGGAAGTGGGAAGGCTGGACAGGAAATGTGAGAGGAGGTAACTACCAGTCAGAAATACATTTTCAGTTTACAAAAATGCTAATTTTCAATACAATATCTTACCTCTTTTCACGAAACAGATAGAATCCCCCACTGAACTGGTGTAGGGATAGTGAAAAAATGATCCATCTTTAGGAAGTGCCCAAAATGAGACCATGAAGTCTGGAGCCAAAAAACAATATATCAAATCACAAAGAGAGACCACTCCACTTCTGATCCAGGTATACTTTTCGCTCTTTCATGACTGTGTCACGAACATAAAAGGTGGAAAAACATGAACCAATCCCATAATACGTATTACCTATTAACTCTCTCAACTTCGGTTCGGTTAATTTGACAGAGTCACATGACCTTTTGTACTCGTTTAAAGTTGATATAAATTTAATACCTATAACTCTCAATATACTGGGTATATCTTAATGAAGTTTGGCAGTCTTTCAGTTAATATTACAAGTCTTTCACATACAAAAATTTATATTTCTTAGTGAAGTATTTTTAATAATATAAAATAAAGATTTGTCTATGAATATATTGAGTATTTGTTTTCAATAGTCCGCGTGCAAACTAATTTTCACGTTAAAATTAAAAATACTTTTCGTCATCTCAAAAATCTCAAATTTTTTTTGTGTAATCCCTAAGACCTCCTAAATGCAGTTCAAACGTTTTTTTTTACTAACTCCTTATAGTTTATATTATTACGTCGTTAGTTAATTTCCCGTACAATTTCTTTCTGATGAAACTTTAGCGATACAAATCCTTTCTTAAATAAAACTGGTTT